TGCTTGTCACTCGGCCGGGGAGTCGAGGTCGGCGCTGTCCACACACCCCCTTCGCCGCCCCCGACGCTCTCGTTCGCTCGTTCGTCCGTTCAGTTGTTCCTTACGGAGTCTAAGGGGCGCTATGGTTTCTAAGGGGCGCTTTGCCTATCTCCCTGACCTCTCTTTCGCTTTGATTTGGATGTTTTGGGTCGGGACGTTGAGAGGAAGGAATTTGGACGGAGGAACGTTGAAGAGGACTAAGAAAATTAGAATTAAAACCGGAGGAAGAAAAGTAAAAAAAAAAAAAGGGGGGGGAGAGACCCACAAGACGAAGGAATCAAGAGAGGCTACACCATTCCCTCGGGCCGGTGGGACTTGCCTGCTTGCTTGCTGGAGCAGCCCTCCTCAGCAGGTAGAGCGAGCGCGAGAGAGAGAGCGAGACGGCGAGCGAGAAGAGACGCGACGAGGGAGCAGCACACGACGCAGCGAAGGTCACCCGCGCACTGCACGTTTTACTCGGGAGCGGACCGGGCCGGGGAGTCCGAGCACGGCAATGCACGGGAGGGGCGGATGCTTTACGTGCCGGACACAGCTGGTGGTCACATGATACACGTTTCAAGCTTCGGGTGAGGGAGGTACCTGCTGCTGCCGCTGCTGTAGCTAGAGAGCTCGTCTGTTAACCTTACGTGCTTACACATCTAATGACATTCTCGGGGCCTAACTCTCTTTTCTCTTCCTCGTGACGGTTCGCTGTCTCTCGCCCTTTTGCCTCTGTCTGTTTCTTAGTGTCTACATCTACGTCTCCCTCACTCCCTTTCATCTTCTCTCCCTCATTCCCTCTCCCATATTCTCTCTCTCTTTAATCTCTTTATCTTCCAGCTCCTCTCTCACGCATCCCCTTCCTCTCCATCTCTCTTACTCCCCCAACTCTCACTCTTTCCTTCTCTCTCTTAACCCTTCACTATCTCACTCCTCCCTCTTTCCCTATCTTCCCTCTCACTTTCTCTCACCCCCTACCATTCTCTCATTCCCCTCTCTCCCTCACTCTCCCTTGCCCCCTTCCTCTGCCTCTCTCTCTCAACTCTCCCTCTCACTCTCTGGCTCCCTATCTCTAGCCCCTCCCTCTCACTCTCATTCTCTCTAGCCCCTCCCTCTTACTCTTACTCTCTCTCATCCCCTCCTCTCCCTCCTTCCCCGTCTCGCTAACTCTCACTCTCTCGTGCTCATTCCCTCTCCCTCTCTCTCACCCTTCAATTTCCTCACTCTCGCCCCTTACCTTTACCCTTCCTTTACCCCCTTCCCCTTCCCCTTCTCCCTCTTCCCTCCCTCCTTCTCTCTTCCGTAATCCCCACCCAATCTCTCCATCACAAACACACCCTTTTCCTTCCTCTTCTCCCTCTTCCTCTTCCTCTCTCTCTCTCTTTCCCCCCCCCTCCCTCCATCACATACACCAAACATGCAACACCCACTCCATCATACCATAAAACACGTTCCCGAAAAGGGCATGTACTCTCCCATTAATTCCGAAGACGATACGCCAGGACGAGCCGAGATAACACATCATTCCACGCACTGTTATCGCGGAAGCTGCAGAAGGCGTTCTTATATGCCTCCTGGCGGTAGAGGTTGTGGATATCTTTTGTTCTTGGGTTTAAGAGAGGGTTTTAAATGGCTTTAGATGGTCTAAGATGGTTTCGGAGATGGCTTTAGAAATGGTTTTAGATGGGTTTAAGAGATGATTTTAAAGGTTGTTTTTGATATGGTTTAAGTGGCTTTAGATTGTTTTAAGAGGGGTTCAAGAGATAGTTTTTTAAAATGATTTTAAATGGCTTTAGATGGGTGAAGAGAATTTTAGAAATGGCTTTAGAAATGGTTTAAGATGGTTTTGAGAGATGGCATCAGATATGGTTTTAAGACATGGTTTAAGATGGTTTTGAGAGATGGCATTAGATATGGTTTTAAGACATGGTTTAAGATGGTTTTGAGAGATGGCATCAGATATGGTTTTAAGACATGGTTTAAGATGGTTTTGAGAGATGGCATCAGATATGGTTTTAAGACATGGTTTAAGATGGTTTTGAGAGATGGCATTAGATATGGTTTTAGATGGGTTTAAGAGATGATTTTAGAGATAGTTTTTGAAATGATTTTAAATGGCTTTAGATATGGTTTTAAGAGATGGTTTTAGATGGCTTTAGAGATCAGTATAAACGAGGGGATAATTTTGTTATTTTGTTTATCTGTATACCTCTCGATATACATATTAATTTTTCTGATAATTATGTGTATTTGTCTATCTACTTATCTGTTATTCATATGTGTATCAGTCTCTCTGTTATTTACATGCGTAACTGTCTAGCCACATTTATTTATGCTATTACCTGTCCAGTTATTCATATCTGGCTCTTTGTTATCTGGCTATCTACATATTTACTTGCCTATCTATCTGCTCTCTATTTAGAGACATCCTGTTTCGTCATTTATCTGCTTTTATAGCTTTTCCTTGCCTGTGTGTCTATTTCATTTGCTATCAGTTCCATATGTTATTTGTTCAGCCTGCTTGCTTATAGCTGTCTACTTATATTTCTCTCCCTAAGAGTCTATCAGTCTATGTATATCTATTTAATTTACCTCTGTTTACCTGAATAAATTATTGCCCGTCTACAAGTCTGTATATCAGTCTGTATGTCTAAATTAAGTCATATCAAATCATCTATTTCTACATATAGATAGATAGATAGATAGATAGATAGATAGATAGATAGATAGATAGATAGGTAGATAGACAGAAAGATAGATCGGTAGATAGATATATTTATCCCTCTTCTCCCTTCTTCCTATCCATCCCACCTTTCTTCCCTCCCTCCTCCCATCCCACCTCTCTTCCCTCCCTCCCTCCCTCCCTCCTCCCTCTCATTCCATCCCACCTCCCTTCTCTCCTCCTTCCCAAACTATATAAACACACCATTAAGCATGCATAGCTGAGCCCTCGCGTAACCCAGCAACACACATCTCCTCCCCTCCCCTCCCCCTCCCCCCCATGTCATAATGACACCCCCCTCCTCGATACTAATGAAAACACAAGGAATCGCTAATGACATACCTTATCGAGTGCTTTTCTTTCTTCCATTTATTCTATCATTTATTGATTGATTGACTGATGATGATGATACTGTCACTGTTATTATCATCATAATCATTATCATTATCATCATTATTACTATCATTATCATCATAATCATTTTCATTATCATCATTATTACTATTATTATCATCATAATCATTATCATCATTATTACTTTCTTTATCATTACCATTCCCGTTATCATTATCATAAATATTATTATCAATATCATCATCAACATCATTTTCACTATCAACTTCATTACCATTATCAATATCAATATCCTTAATAACCTCATCATCATCATCATCATATTTCCTTCTCCTTAATCCCTTCCCCTTTTTTCCTGTCACCAGTGCGTGCCACGAGGAACCCGCGCCTCTTGACACGTTCTTGGCACCCGGAGTCCCGTCAGCGCCTCGGCTCCTCCCGTGGCACTGGGGGAGGGGGGGGGTCGAGGCCTAACGAGGGATAACCCTTTCGCCCGGTCGCTTCTCTTATGTTTTCGTTCTGTCCACGTGTTTGTTCGTGTCTCTCTCTCGTTTTTAATATTTATCTTTTCATTGCTCGTTTTCTTATCTGTTTACTTGCGATCCTTTTTTTCTAATTTGTTCTCGTTAAGGTTGTTCGTTTGTTTGTTGATAATGAGGTGATGATGATGATGATGATGATGATGATGAAGATGATGATGATGATGATGATGATGATGATAATGATGAGAAGGAGGAGGAGGAGGAGGAGGAGATTGGTGATGATGATGATAATGGCAGTGATGATGAGGCGGACAGTGATAATGATGATGATGGTGATGATGATAAAGATACTAAGCAAAAATACAGAGAAGAGCAACTTTACTTTCCTAAAAAAAATAATAAATACAACAATACCATAAACAATAAATCAAGAATAAGGATAAGAACGAGAATGAAAGAAAGAATATGAACAAGGAGCAAAGGACAGGTACAAAAAATACCGAAACCACAACAGAGAGACTGACTCCAAACTTGTTTTTCGCTTAAAGCTTCCCGACCTTGTTTTCGAAAACCGAAGAAAACGCCTTCATTTTTCTTTGCCCCTTTTAAACTTAATTTTTCCGATTCCTTTTGATAATATTAATCCGATTAATGTCGGTTCCTCCAAAAAATATATATTTCCTCGAAGCAATTCGTTGTTTGAAGTAAAAAACAATGACATTCTGAGAGGGATATGGATCAATTTTCAGCTAAAATCTAATGTAGCGTTTTTTTTCAAAATGAATTGCCGTGTATCTGATGTGTGCATATAGTGCGTTCACATACATACCGGTTTGAACCGATACACAAGCAAGCGCAAAAGCATACACACGCAAACATATACAAGCAAACAAAATCAGACATTCATAAACAAACACAATCACAGTTACACACACACAGACACACACAAACACACGCACAAAAAACACAAACCCACAAACAAACACATCCATCCAAACAGACCTCCATCCCCAACATAGTACCAAATACACAAACTCCAGGAATAAAAGGTAAACAAAAAATTACCAACTGCCGACATCCAGACAGCATGATGAAGCATAAAACCAACAATAGGCACCCACCAAATCTCGTTAGCGCATACAACCGACTGAATACTTACAAGGCACAGCGTGTATACCCACATATGGCACGGCCGATCTACGTACCCGGAGAACTCGCCCGGGGCTTTTATATTCTCCCGGATTCGAAGTAAAATATCAAAAAATATTGAATGAGGGAGAAGGGGAAATGGGGAAGAAACGGGGGTGTATGAGAGATAGAAAAAACAACGATATATATGTGCGTGAGATAGATAGATAGATAGAGAGATAGAGGGATAGGTAGACAGATAGAGAGTAAGGGAGGGAGAAAGATAAACAGAATTT